CCGTAATGCCCCCCCCCCTTCAGAGACTGAACTTGAAGAGGTAGATGCACCGAAAGTGGTCACCAGGTGCATCTTGGTGTGGGGAATGAGAATCTGGATTTGGATTTCAGAAACTACCCTAACTTAGCTGGATATTGCCGGAAAGAGGTCGAAGGGCTTTGTGCTCGAGTCTCGCATCCGGATTTTCATTTCCTATAGCAACTAAACTTGTAAGCACAGCCTTACAAAAATGCGATTGCAATAGGAAATTATGTTGGCAATTGCATTTTCAGGTATTGTTGTCACTTTGTTAGATGGGTGGCAAACTGCATATTCCGCATTCAAGCATTATTAGACATTAATAAAAAATCAGATGCGAAAAAAGCAGATTGTCTACGGTATTGCGAAGAAGTTCAATCATATTCAAGTATAAGTGTACCATGGCCCATAAACATTCACTCAAGGAATTACATAGAACTTTGCAAGATTTAAGTGGCAACGGAAATATTCGGTGGTGCTGTCCTTCTATTGTCTGGTGGTTTCCGACAGATAGTGTCAGCATTCTTCGCACTACTTTTGCTCACGAGATTATTGCATGTTTAAAACAATCGTTTTTATGGCAAGACGTCGAAACACTTCAATTGACCTTAAACACGAGAGTACAATTGCAAGTTGATCAATCGAAGCAAATATTTTCTAACCAACTGCTGTATATTGGAAACGGAGAAGTAGAACTGCATTCCAATACCTTATGCATCAAATAACCAGAAAATTTTTGTACTGTTGCTCAGACAAAAAAGGGACTGATTGAGAGTGTCTCTTTCCAGATATACTGTATAATTATCTAGATAAGGATTGTCTTTGTAGTCCTGTTACTTAATCGGAAAGCGTGTTGATACTGATGAAATAAACTTCCAGATATATCATTTCCTGGTGATCCAATGCTTTTTAAATCAATCGACACAATTGCTGAGGAAAACAAAACCGTAAATTTTCCAACTGAGTTTTTGAATTATCTGGATATATCAGGAATGCCACCACACAATCTTCGGTTGAAGATTGGTTCACAGGTTATTTTGCTGCGTAACTTAAATCCACCTAGATTATGCAACGTTATATATTTATTCATCAAAAGAATTACTGGGAAACTTCTTGAAGCAAACATTTTGACTTTAAAGTTTAAAGGAGAAATTGTGTTCTGTTGCCGCGTGTTCCACTGATGTAGTCAGAATTTCCAATACCATTCAAAAGGCTTCAATTCCCGATTCGTTTGGTTTTCTCGATTACTATAAATAAATCTCAAAGCCAAACAATGTCCATTTGATGCTAGGACTTCCATGTTTCTCGAATGAGCAACTATATGTGGCATGCTCACTTGTGGGGAAACTGTCGAATCTAATTGAGTTAGAAAAAGACGGGTTACCGAAAAATATTGCGCACCGTTTAGTGATTAATTATATTAAACTTATTTATTGTTATACTTTAAAATGATAAAATAATATATTAGAAATTGATAATTCAACTTTAGTCACCTCATTAATAAAATTAAATCTTCTTATGTTGTTACTTAATAACTTTGTAAGTAATTCATGCGTTATACTATACTCAAAGAGAAGATGAATAAAATGCAAAATTTAAAACATTATGTTGTTTAATGCTCAATTTCAATCCGAAAATGTAAGCAAACATTAATTTGACTGTATTGTATGGCTTAGAATAATATTAAATCAACGTATTAAAACAAAGCCAAAGCAACGCGTGGCCGGGTTCATTTAGTAATAATACTAAAAATCTCGTTCTCACTAAGTTCATCGTTACAGTGTTAGTAATATGTAGTGGCTTGCATTTATTTTAGAGCTAAAATTATGCGCAATTTTGATATTTATTTTTTTAAAAAAACTTTTAAAAATCAAAGGAATAATTAAAAAACTTTTTCACTTCTGCTAATATTTGTTCATTGTTAAACTTGCAGATTCACAAAAATATATGCTTGAAAATTTTCTTAATATAAAATCTTTTTTTATTAAGAATGCTAAAAATAATCTCTTATTATTATTTGGTCTGATTACTGTTGTCATTTTGGTAAGTAATATTTTGAAAACATTTTTTCTTTTATATTGAAAATGAGGAAAAAAATGTCTAACCTCTGTCAAGTGCATTATTAACTTAGGCGGGAATTTAACATAGAATGCAACAATAATATGAAATTCTTATTGTCCTTAAAATTTTAGCTCTGCTGTATTTGAAAGACGAGAACAAATATTAACAGCATTATGGAAAACATTTATTTCATACATTTCATTAACAAACATTTCGAACTTTTTTATATACGAGGGCTGGGGCAAAAGTCATGGCAACTATTTTTTTCTCTCGAAGATGCCAGTCCAGCGGGAAAAACGAAAGACGAAAGTTCAAGGTGTTAACTACATGTGTGGACAATGTATAGCACTGAAATATCGTAACACACTGATTTATTATTGTAGTATATATACAGGGCAATATGGCCTTCACGGTGCAAAAGAATGACAACACAGTACACATAAAGTTGACATGACAAATCTGGGCCTATAGACTCTTAATGTAATTCATGAGCTGCTCACTGACGGCACGTGCCAAGTCGGTCCGTACACTGACCGGTCGTCCCGAACGTTGCTCATCACTGGTTGACACACGTCCTTGTTGAAACTTTCCTATCCACCGTGCTACTGTACGGTATGGTAGGGCATTATTCCCAAGAGCTTCCACTAATTAATGTGACATTCCGTCGCATTTCTTTCTCGGAGAACGACTATTTTGATGTAAGCGCGTGGCTCAACACGGGTTACTTCCATCTCGCACGACACTCACCAACTGACTGATTTCACAGCGTTTGCTGAGCTACCAGCTATCACAGAGCCATCTGATGTTCTGCATACACACTATGCCTACAGAACTTCCACACGACACACATACGTTTGTGATCCGTTCACATATATACAAGAAAAAAATACCATGACTTATGCCCCAACCCTCGTATTATAAAGTAGTGAGTGGTCTTTTGGAAATTGCATTGAAATCGAGATTGCATTTAGTACTATCACCAGTAAATCGCACTTCCCTTTATGGGAAAATTAACCGAAAATTGAACTTAATGCAATATTACATGATGCAAGTTTTTCCCGCCTAGTAACTGCAAGCTCGGCTCCCTATGTAGATAATATTATACGGCTCATATCAACACGTGCACCCCTAAAATATTGCGGGGTCTTTTCACTGACATCACACCGATAACCGATGGCCGTGAAAAACACCTGTGAGCCGGAACCCGAAGTGCAATTCGAGGTGAGAAGCGACCGCCCTCACCCCCAAGAGAGTGAAGAGACAGTCCGCTGTGAAACACTCAAAGGAAAGGTTGTGTTGCCTCCTCCTTCACAAATAACATTTCTACAGAATGAAAATAGTCAATTAGTTTGAGTAACTTGTATCCAAATGTACGTACTGTTATTAATAGCTGTGGGCGAACTAAACCAATTATTTAATTCCTTAACTCTCACGCTAGCCATCAATTTTCCCAAACTTCACAATGAGAAAAAAAAAAGTCATTGGAACCGCTTGATATACAATTAAAACTGAATTTGATGCACACCTCTTTCTCTGGGAGCGTGGATTTCCGGTATCATTGAGAAGGATAGAAACCTTGAGCATATTCGAAACTTAACATAATAGAGGTACGATTCTCGGCGTCCGCAGAAGACAGTTCTTGACACGTCTTGGAGATGTGAATCTCTATAATTGATACATGAGATGAATGGCTTCTCTCTGATGTCATTATGTATCAAAGGTAAATTTCGAAACTTTCAATAGTATTCTATAGCCGCTTGGGAATTCATGACTGGTATTGCTCTACGCCGAGTGCAGTCTTAAGATCTGGTGCCATTAAAAATCCTTCTTGTCAAGGAGAAGATGCACGTTAAATCTGTAGCGGCTTAACACGCTGGTAGGGTGTGGAAGTTTTAGGGGAGTAATTTTCCAGCACAGTCCTTCCTCGTCACTTGACCGAGGCTCAGAATTACGCGGTCAGTCTCCATAGCTCTTATGTTGCATTGAAGTATGAGGTTATAGAACAATAAATCATTTCGAAAAGGTTCCTTGCATCTAAAGATATGACAAAATTCAGATTTTTCAGAGTAGAAAACCCATACAGAATTTAAAGTTTTATTCTTAAATTTAGAAGGAAAAGTTGTTTCATAATTCCTATTATTAGTTCACACTTTCTCCTTTTGTATATATATCTTCAAATTTTCAATCGTTAATAAAATACTTTTTATTCATCCACTCAAGTTCAAATACATTTTTTTAAACATGTAGTGGAGGACACTTGAGGTTAATACACTTTTTTCAAATATTAATTCTATTTAATTAATGAATAAATAGTAAGAAACAAAGCTAATTGTCCAACACCCTATATAAAAAGGGAAATCGCTCGTCGTGTCCCTGTAGCGCAATGGATAGCGCGTTGGACTTCTTATCCAAAGGTCGTGGGTTCGAATCCTCTCTGGGATGGCCTAATTTTTTAAAATGGGATTTCTTTTTACGATACTGTGTTTCATTGGAATAATTAAATTTAATGAATGAATAAATAGTAACACAAACAAAAATAAAATAATAGTCCACAACACCCTATATAGAAAGGAAAATGGAAAATTGCTAAGAAAATCGCTTTCTTTTTTGCCACTTAATATTGTGATTGTGTGTCTTATGTATATACATATTTATATATATTGTAATTATTTAATAAAAATGAGCTAAAATAAAAATTTTCTTTGTTGACCTAAATAGGAATTGACTTAATTTTTTTTATTTTTTTATATTACTTGTTCTTTATTATCTTAATTCGTGTAATTTTATTTATTATTTTTTTGATAAAAATTTACTTCCTTATTTTTACTTAGTTAACTCAACTTCTCTTTTATTCTTTGATTTTGTTCTGTTAAAAAAATGGAACCCAAACTAAGTGAATAAAACTTTAATATTATTTTTGAACACCAGGGCTCCTCTGGAAACAAACAACCACCTCTCAAATTTAATCGATTGCCCTCATTTCACAGTTATGTAACGCCCTCTCGTGGCAATTATGTTCTCCTTAGGGACGAGCCGTTTTGCGGAACATTTAAGTTTCTTCGAAGAGTGGGGCTATTTTCGGGAATTAAGTCGAAAGACGCCATTGCTCATCTTCCTCCATCCATTTCTCCAAAGCGAGTTAAAAGATGTTGACTTAAGGGACCTTTTGCTTTTTATCGCGTGTTTCTCTTCCGAGGATAAGGAGATGAAAAGTGTTTATGAAACATGTAATGAAAGGATGTGACAGAATAGAAAATCATTTTTAGGTGGAGAAATAGGGCATCTGAATGCTTATCGCTGATGCAAAAATATTGGTAGTATTGTTTTTGTTGCTATTCGCGCTTGCAGCCTTTCCAGAACAAGTAATACAAAAAAAAAAAATTTAAGTCAATTCCTACTTGGTCAACAAAGTAAAATTTTATTTTAGTCACTTTTTATATTAAATAATTACAATTAAAAGAAATATGTACGTACTTATGACAAAATCACACTATTAAGTGGCAAAATAGAAAGCGATTTCCCTCGTAATTTTCCTTTCTATATAGGGTGTTGGACTATTTGTTTTTGTTTGTGTGTGTGTGTGTTATTATTTATTCATAATTATTCCAATAAAAGAGTGTAGTGAAAAGAAATCCCATTCTTAGAAATTAGGTCATCCCAGGTTGGGATTCGAACCCATGACGTTTGGATTAGAAGTCCATTGCGCTACAGGGACACAACAAACGATTTTCATTTTTATATGTGGCGTTGGACTATTATTTTTGCTTGTTACTATTTATTTATTGATTAAACTTAATTAATGAATTAAAATTTAAAAAATTGTATTAACATCAAGCGTCATCCACTACAAGTTTAAAAAAATGTATTTGAACTTACGTGGATGAATAAAAAGTATTTTATTAAAGATTGACTATTTGAATAAGATATATGTATAAATAAATATATATATGTATAGGGAGAGAATGAACTAATAGTAGAGGAATTAAAATATTATTTGTAAAAATTAGTTGCCCATCTACATCTATTTTTAAAGCGCTGAAAAATTAAAATAATCTATTGCACGAATGGATAAAGAGTAAATCTGAATTATATCTGAATTTGAGAGATAATGAATTACTCTCTTCTATAGTGTAGTCAAACGGTTAATAACAATTTTATGAGTAGTTTATTTCTATAAAACGGCCGAATGGTTCGGTTCCGGATTTTAGAGAGTGTAGTTAATTATTTTAAAAAGATCTGGTGGCACATTTTAAGAATTTGACGAGACACACAAAAGTGCCGCGGCATTGTGGTTGTAAGGCACTGCCTTAAAAGCTGGAAAATGGTTTTCCGTACTTGTTGTAATTCGTGAGTGACCTGGATCATGTCTTCTAGACACATAATATTGAGATTTAAACTGATTCCATAGATTTTGTCCACACTGCGAGACGCATTGAGACGTCAGCATGTGACAACCTCATTTCTATCCTTCCGACTGAGGAGTGAGTGAATATTAACGTCGCACTGTTCAGCTACATGAGGGCTTTTAGCGACGACCCACGTAATTTTGAACCATGGTCAAGTGACGTGGACGACACCTGAGCTGGCACCCCCTCTCCTAATCCATCCGACTGAATGCCTTAAGCAATCGTGTAAACAACTTTTTCCTAGATATTGCGAGACTTCTGGATATTGTCACCGAAATTGCCAACAATTATTGAAGACCAGCCATCATGTACAGAACGTATTCATGAAGCTACGAGAGTTAGATTTTTGCACATTTTCTCCAACTCTTAAATAAATGTCAGTTTCTTTAAAATAAAAGTAATGGATATATCGTTTTTTGTATAAGTTTTCGTCAAGGGCATTATTATCATTCATATAAACTCTGATTGTTACTGCACTTTTTTTATGGTGAGCTTCGAAAAACATGTACCTTAACCTTTGAAGACCAAAGTGTGTATTTTTTGCTTGATTCGGTAAAGTGTGAATTCAATATGTTAGGTGACATGCTTAATATATATATTGTCTGGACATTAAAGTTCATATCTAATAATTTGAATTATAATCTGTTTAATTGTTTCCAAAACTTGTAAAATAAGACAGATAAAAGAAGCTTTCTGCTTATGAATCCATGTCTTAAAATTATGATAGTTTTATTAATTGAAAAATAAGTTGCAAATAAAAATATTTTAAATTTTATTAGGTATTTTAGACTTTGAGCCTAATATAACGCTTCTTCTGTACGTATAAAAATTCTAAAGGTGCAAAAAAATAAGCAACTTTATAAATCGATTTCTGAGACTCAACTTTTTTTTTACTCTTTCTAGATTTTTTGGTAAAGATAAAAAAAAAAAATGTCTTTTCGAAAATTCTGTTAAAATAAAATAGTTTTAAATCTGAAATCTTTTTTATCCCCTAAGCAAATGTTTTAGTCAAATAAAACAGAAAATTCGAAATCTAAAATTTTTTTACCAAAACTTCTTTTTTCATTTTTTTTTTTAAAAAATCCTTTCGATATCTATTGAAAAATTATACTGAGGCAGAAAAGACCGTTCATGAAAAATAATTGCAATGCGAGCGAGCAATTGCATTCTGATAATAAGGAACACAAAACTAGCGCAGCTTTTTCTTTTCAGTTTCTGTTACAGTGAAATTATTTTAAAAAATAATTTTCCGAAGCGGAATGGTAACGCGACCGCAAACGATTCTTCGAATCTGTCCAGCTGTGTGGAGTCATATGACGTATCCAGCACAATGAATAAATAAAAAAGTTGCAAAAGGAAATGGAATACGTTCACTTCCGATCCCTACGACCATTCCGATTTGTTTATTTTTAATTATGTTTTAACACATAGTGATGTGTTTGTTACGATTTTATTTTGTTTTCATGCTAAGGTTCGCTTGCTTCTGAGTAAATGCATAATTATGATAGTGAACATTGCCGTTCAATGTGTTCCAGAAAGCATTTCAGATATTAATACTAGAGAGAAAATATGCACATATACACGTGTATTTAAATTTTTCAGTTTCGTAAATTAAACGAAATATAAAAATATTTAATATGATAGACAGGATTTTTTTTTTTTTTTTTTGCTCTGAATGTAATGGATAAATGAGGGTGGGGGAAATATAAATAAATATAAAAGGGAAAAACATTTTTGTTTTTTGAATAGGTTATTAAACAGCATGAGCGCAAACAATTTCCAAGTTTCTGTTTTCATTATTAGTTATTTGATGTATTTTTAAAGAAAGTTATAAAAAGTGGGTTGCACATTACAACTAATTCTTGAGTGAAGATATGTTTTGAAAAAAATGTGCAGTAAATTTATAACAATAAAATACAATGACATTTATTCATAGATTTTAATGGTAGAAAGTGTGATTTCTTTTGTCGAAAATATGTGCTTGTGTGTAATACATATGTCAAGGACAATATATTTCAAATGAACATTTTTATGAACTGTTTCCTATATATGAGATGCCATTCTTAATAGCTTAATTCTTTTTTATATCTAATTTTTTTTAGTTTATAGAATATATATATACAAAATAGCTGAATAATTTTAATCACTGTCATGATGGAAATTTAATAATTTCGTATAAATAAATGGAATATAATGAAATATGAAAAAAAAAGAGTGAAAAATATTTTTGTATTCAAGTTTGCAGTATTATTTAAAAATGATATTTCTGTTTACTATATCACAACAGAAATTATAACTTTTTTCTTAAAATAATTGACTGGGACGCTTTTGAGTTATATATCATTACATATATATATTTCGTATTTAATTTTCACTGTAATGGACGTTTCAAAAGATGAAAAATCAAAATAAAATTAAAAAGTATTTAGTAGCGTATATTCAAGTATGTCCTCGAAAAGCTTTTCTTCCCTTAAGTATATCAATCTCAACAAAAAACATTATGTTTTTAATTGGAAAGAGTTTTAATTAACAGTTACAAAACATCTAAAGTTCTTTTCTTTTTCTTTTTTTTTAATAACAAGGAAACTAAATTTTTGCTTTTTTTTTTTTTTTAATTTTTTCCCCACCCTTTTTTTTTTTTTTTTTGACATATAGTATAAATTATTTTCTTAAAATTTTTACTTAAAGTCTTTTAATTTTTCAATTTCTACTATTAGCCCAC